TGTATAAGAGACAGCCTTTGTATCCATCTCGTCTCATCCGCTCTGCAGTTGAGCGTTTTCCTCGCTCAGCCCCCGTGTCCCATCTGTGGTCGCTTCCTCTCGCAGGTAGATCGTGGTGGGGACATAGAGGAGCGTGGGAAGATCCTCGTGTCCCTCATGTACAGCACCCAGCAGGGCGGCCTGATCGTCGGCATCGTACGCTGCGTGCATTTAGCAGCCATGGACGCCAACGGATACTCGGACCCTTTCGTTAAACTGTAAGTGGGGGGGCTGGGGCCGGCGTGGCGCGGTGACACGTGGTCACGGGGCCACCCGCCGTCCTTGGGCGGTGGCCCAAGGGCTGAGAGCTCCTTCCAAAACCGCTGGAGAGAGGAGAGCGTTTCCCAAGCACCTGGAGACCCTCCCGCAGGTCTGAGCCGCCCACCCGTGCAGGGTGGTGACGCTCTGCTCGGGGTGGCCCTGCCGGGGCCGAAGCTCCGCGAGGCTGGACCACTCCCTGGGGGTCTTAAAGGATTTCACCAGACTGCGGGTGCCTCTAGGCCGGCTTTATTAACAACTCAGTGAGCGGCAACAGCTGACAAAAGGCATCTTATATTTATATGATTCTTCATAACGTGTAACACAATACTAATTCATCACCAATTCCAAAAGTCTGTCATATTCCGCAGCTCCAACTCGTTCCCACTCCGGTTCCTCTTCTGACATCACTGATGCAGTCTTTGGTCATCATGGTTAATTATCTTCAGTATTGTTCCTAGAGCACCCGTGCTTACCGCACTGAACCGTTAGTACGGTTCCTCGAGCACCTGGGCTGTACAAAACTATCTATTTATTCATGTTCCTGCTATTAATAACATCCTCAGAGAAAAGAGATTTTTAAAGCTTATTCCTTTTACACCCTGGAGGTTCCCAAACGCACAGACCCAACAGGCACGTTGTAGGAGGAGGACGAGGAGGACAAGGGATCGCCTCCTGCAGGGTGGGGAGGACTTGACGTCCCTCCGTGCGTGACACGGAGCACGTACCCCCCGCGCTGGTTGTAGCGGGAGCCCAGGGATGGCCGAGCTCTCCCTGTCCCGTGCCGTGTCTTCTCTGCAAACTGAATTCATAGAGAGAGGAGCATTTGCCGCAGCAGGTGCTGGCGATGCCTTGCCGTGGCGCGGAGCGGGAGCAGCAGCGTGCCCGTGGGCGCTCTCGGCCGCGGAGGCAGGTGACGGGGGAGCGGCGCTGGTCGGGTGGCTCCTACAAACGTGGGGGAATCGGATTGTTTTCCCTCGAACCTCATAAACTGCCACACAGAGAGGGCCCTGGAGTCATTCCCGCTCGCAGCTGTGGCTGCAGATGGGTTTTCGTTGCTGTTTTCCCTTTGCCTTCAAGGAAAAGAAACAACAACAAACCTGTATTCTCCCTAAAAGTCATGCAATGACTCTTGCGTTGAACATTTTGCACAGCTTTTTGTAGCGGAGTGGAACGGGGTAGTTTTCCTTCTCAGTCTCTCTCTTATTGCTTTATCTTTTTCCATTCCCACAAAGAGAAGACGGTGGCTTTCTGTTTGTCAATCAACTTCCAACAGCGATCCAGTTAATGCCAACTCTCCGATTTCGTGCTGGGTCTGCGGTGAGGCTGCAAAGCCTGAGCCCTAATTTTTCACATATTCTCTAGGTGAACCTACCTGCCTGAGTACACTAGTCTGCGTGGTATTAAACACTAGCAGGCTAATTTTTTTTAAAATATTTTTTTTTCCTATTTCTCCCCATCTCTGTCTGCGCTCACACTTTCTTGGTTGGGTTTTCCAGAGGCCAGGCTCAGTGACCGGCCGTGCCGTTGCCCTCGTCTGCTGGTGACAAACCCGGCTGCTCATTTTCCACATTCCCTGACGGTTTTAGCTGCTCCCCGCTGTCAGCCTCAGCAGGTTCTTCCCCTGTGAAATGCAAAGTTCACCTGTTTTGGCTCCGTAAAACACCCACGACCATTTCTCTTAGCATGTCTTGGGGCAAAACCCCTTGGGACCGGTGCGTGGTTCGGAAGGACGTCGAGGCGTGTGCAGGCTCGCCGCTTTCTGGCGTCCGACCGTGACCCAACTGCTCTGAGCAAGAGATGCTCCCCCAGAAAAGTTTCTGCTGAGCTCAGCGCTCGGTACAAAGCAGGTCTTTATGGTTTCCCATATGTCTCATCTGGCTATCCAAGGGGAAAAGAAAAAAACAAAACCAACAGGATTTTACTCATTTTACATTTATTTTAGATAATTTTAGAAGGTAGGAAGGGAGAGTGGCTAACCCATTTCTTTGCCTCAAATAAATATTTTCTGTTTTGTTTTGGTTTGTTGGGTTTTTTTGTTGTTTTTTTTTTTTTCCCCTAGCCCCAAACCTCACTTTTTAAGCTTATAAGCTCACCCTGTTCTTGCACTAGAGTTTTGAGCTGTTTTCTGTTGCCCCCAGTTGGCTGAAACCTGACATGGGAAAAAAGGCCAAGCACAAGACACAGATTAAGAAGAAAACATTGAATCCTGAGTTTAATGAGGTAAGGATGGATGCATTTTTATATTATTAAATCAATTTGGCTAATGACTATGTCATGTGGAGGAGACAGAAGACAAACTCCCCAAGGTTTTGTTCCTCTCTCAGGCTCCTTTCCCCGCTCTGCACCCAGGAGTGTTTTAGGAAGGACTTTGCCGTGGGAGATCTCCCCAGTTGGGTGCTGGGCAGCGCCGTACACCCCAAAACCTCCCCGCTGCTGGTGCTGCCGACTCCGCGTCGCCACGGGCAGGGGTGCGGGTGGGACGAGCATCCCCGGGGCGGTCCCGTGGCTGGTGCCGCTTTGATGGGACACCAGCAAAGCGCTCACTTAGATACGAGGGGCGAGCTCAGCTTATGGGTTTGCGCAGCACGCTGTGGTCTGCGAGGAGGGGTGCCGCAGGGAAGGGGCATCTGCTCCGTATGAGTGTGTTTTAAATATTATCTCACCGGGTTTTGAATTCGGGCTGTGCAGGGAGATCACTTGCAGTTCCTTAACTGGAGTTTTCTGGGCGTGTTTTTTCCTGGGGCATGTGGGGTGATTGCGGGTGTTAATCCTTCTGCAGGAGTTCTTCTATGATATAAAACACAGCGATCTGGCCAAGAAGTCACTGGACATTTCTGTCTGGGATTACGACATCGGAAAATCGAACGATTACATCGGTGAGCTGCGAGGCTGCGCTCCGGGGTGGGGTTTTGATGCCCGTTACAGGACGGGAGGGGTGTGTCCATCACCTGTCCTGTGAGGAACCCCAGGCTGGGCTTCGAGGTGAGACCGTGCGGGTGGGTTGGGTGCTGCTCTCAGGCCATCACGTACAGCGCTCCCACCGTACCGCCCCGTCTCCAGCATCCCAGGGGGTCCTTCTGTGCAGGCAGAGCAGCTCTAGTTGTTTCTACTACATTTTAAATCCAGGAGGTGGAAGGAAACGCTGCAAACGTGGGCTCTGTCCCCACGGAATTAGTTTCCTGGAACACCAGCATCACCTCTGACCAGGGTGTCTCTTCTCCTCCCTTTAATTCCAGGTGGCTGTCAGCTTGGCATTACGGCTAAGGGGGAGCGCTTGAAACACTGGTATGAATGTTTGAAGAACAAGGACAAGAAAATTGAACGCTGGCACACCCTCCAGAACGAGAACCACGTCGCCAGTGATTAAAGGGAGTCGCTGCCCGAACCTCCCCGAACAGCCCGTCCTCTGCCAAGCCCCTGTAGATCTCTGATGTCCGTCTTCCAGTGCAGTCATGCCTTGCTACACGCCCTCTGGTCCCAGGGCATCCAAGCATCCTCTGTGTCCTCCCACCCGAAAACTAACCCAGATCTTTTATATTCTCTTCTTCCTTTTTTTTTTTTTTTTTCCCCCTTTTTTTGGGGGTGGGGTGTCACTGAATTATCCTGGTGTGTAATTTTGTCAAGCAATAGTTACCCTCTGACTGTTCCTCTTTCTCACTAGTCTCACGCACGCCGTGATAGCGTTCCTGTTGTGTGTGTGATGCTCTGTGTTCCTCCAGCCTCCGCTCGCGTGGCTCGTCCCGTCCCCACCAGCTCGTGGCTCCTTTCTCTCCTAGCGGGACCTGCGGCCCCCGACCCGGCCGTGTTCTCGCCCGGCGTAGTGGGGTTGAGCGCCGGTGTCAGAGCATCGACCCGTTCTGCTTGTGTGATATCGATACCTCAGTTGCAATAATGAAAAAGCTGTTTGGCTTTGGTGTGGGTCGTAACCGTAGCCTGGTATCTGTGTTGTTGTGATTAGGCTAAAGCCTGTGTCACTGATGTAATCCCGCGAGTCCTGCTTGAGCTTTAGTTCTGATTTGGTACACTTGAGCAATATTGTGGTACATCCTTTGCTGAGAAGATCCACCAGTAACCCAATGGCGATAAGATAATGGGGAGCCACTGTGTGCTCGCAGGGAAACAGAGGTTTGGGTTGGTTCGTGTTTGTTTCCAGCTGCCACGCGCGGTTCCTTTTGCCCCCGAAACTCAGACGCTCCGTTGCTGTAGGAGCCCACCCGTGTTTCGAGCTCGTGACTACCTCCTCTTCACGTCCTAGCTGCGCAGTAGTGACTGTCTGAACCCTGAGGGCAGGCCCTGGGCCCTCCTCCGACTGCCCTTTCCGTTGCCCACCCTTTTGCACCACACGCAGAAGGGGAGCTGGGGGAGAAGATACTTCCCACCAACTAGCTGATGTGTGCAAGGATTATTGCTTTAAAATACCACAAATACTGAAATTAGCTGGAACAGTTAGAGGTCTTCCAAACTTTGGGTTTGTGGTTTGTTTGTTGGGTTTTTTTTGGGGCTTTGGGTTGTTTGGTTGGTTGTTTTTTTGTTGTTTTTTTTTTTCAAATCTGCACACAAGAACCATCGTCTTCAACCTGCTCTTTAATGATCACCTGGAGGTGTTTGATTTGCTCTCGATGGCGGGAGAGTCGAGGGGCTCTCAGACTGATGCCGATCGGGTTTGGTATCACTTGCTGTCTCTGGACGACCTCAAGCCTAGCACCATCGTTAGTAGCACAATAAGCACTGCTGGAATATCTTGTGGGTCTGCTACACACTGCGCATGTTGTATGAAACCTGAACCCAGCCCCTTCAGGTCACGCTGTCGTCCCATGACTTCCCCTGCAACCGCTGCTCTGGTCCTCTGCCGTGCTGCTGCGTGGCGCGTTCTCAATTCCGCTGTACCACAGAGCTCTTTCGTTTGAATTGGATGAGTTATTTTCTTCTTCTAGATTATTTTTAATTTTTTTTTTCCCCACCCTCCCCCGGCAGACTTTGCTCTGAGCATCTCTGCAGGGCTGCGCTTCCCGCAGCAGGCGAGGGCTGGGTGCTGAGCGCCGTCGCTGCGTGGTGCTCACCCCTCTGTGTGCCGAGCGATGCTGCTGCTGCAGAGCAGCCTTGCCCCGGCCCCCCCTGCCAGGCTTGCACGTCCAAGGCCGTCTGCTTCCCCCCCCTCCCAGCCCTGCCTGGGTGCTGCCAGCTCCTTGGAGCCAGCTTTCCACCTGGAGATGCGCTCGGACCACGGATGGGGGAAACCAACCCAACCAGCGTTGGGCATCTGCTGCTCCCTTCAGCCTGAGCTGGGGCAGCTCTTGGGCTGGCTGCTGAGCTGAGAGCTGCCTGGGGCAGAGTATAATGGGGCAAGACACTCCAAAAATGGTTTTCCCCTCCCTTTCAGGCATTTATTGACTCTGCAGCAGTAAGGGCAACATCCCGGCAAGCCCAAGCCATGCTCCCCTCACCTGGCTCTGCAGAGGATCCAGACTCAAATGACCTGGATCCTTCGGATTGTTTCCTTCCGTGTCTCCTGCAGCCATGCCTGGAACCTCACCCTGCTGGGCTGAGGTGTTTTGGGTGTAGGATGCTGCCATCATCCCTTCCAGAGTGAGGGACCTGCCCCAAACCTTTGCACAGCCCTTACCTATATCTCGGAGCGGCAGCTGGGCACGGCGTGTTTCTGTGCTGTGCTGTGCTGGGGGAATGTGGCACTGGGATGAAACTACCTTTTTAAAAAAAATAAATCTGAGCAATTCCTTAATTTATTCCAGACCTGCAGCAGCCCAGCCTCCTTTGTGTGTGCAGAACAATTAAATTAAGGTTGCCTTTAGCCATGTCCTGTATTGACATTCTCTGCTCCGCCTGCTTTCCTTTCAGATGAATGATACTCAAATCATGCCTTTGCACCCATAAAAATAAAGTGCAACTTGCCAATCCCCCTCGCGGTATTGTGCAAACCACAGTCCTCGTCTCTGCCGCCCTCTTCTCAGTTTTTCTGATGGTAATTTCTGCCCTGAATGACTTGTTTTCGTTGTAAATAAAGCATGCACATATGGATTGGGAATGGTGCAAGAAAAAAAAAAAAAAAAAAAGAAGAAAAAATGCCTCTTCTACTGCTGTTTGCATTCAAACTCGCATGCAGTGATTTTACAGCAAAATATCAGTTTACAACTATTAAGAGAAAAAGAAAATGTTACACAGGAACTAGAACTACTCGAGTCTTCCGCTGCATGCAGCACAACATCCTCTCTTGATGTGGTATCTAATAAAGTGAGACTATTGGAAAAGAAAAAAAAAAAAACAAAACAACAAAACACGATGTTTTCTGGCTTCTTTCATTCCCTGAGGGAATACGAACCCCAGCACGGGCTGGTGGGAGTGAGCGGTTGTCCAGGTTGTGGGAATTTAGGGTGGGCCTGGCAGTTCTGGGAAGTCGCGTTGGGTTCAAGAGCTTGAGGAGGAGTTTGGGATGGCGGGGTGCAGCCCAGGCTTGGCTCTCCTGCACCCTTGGGGGTAACGGGGATGACACGGGTGTTGGGGAACAGTCTGGGTTCAAATCCCCCGTGCACAGGCGAGACGTCCGTGGGTTCTGCCTCGGCCTCGGCAAGGGCAAAGGCGATGGCCGCGCGCTGCTGGGCGGGACGGTTGCACGTGGAGAGGTGGCTGCTGCGGCTTTGTGCCAGCGCTTCTGTGTGTCCCCTCGGAAAGCAAAACCCACCCCCCTGAGAAATGAACCTCCCGGCGCCCCTGCCCGTGCCCCAGCCCTTCTCCCCACGCTGGGGCACAAGGAGTTGTTGCCCCGTGTAGCTGCAGCTCCTGTTACGCCACCGCAGGGAAACCCCCCCTCTGGCTGCTGCACCACCCAAACACGTTTTTTTCTCCTTATTATTATTATTTTTGGAAACATTTTGGCATTTTTAGGCTTGATTTCCAGCAGATCCTGCGGTGCGGGCTCCAGCGAAGGGCACGCCGGGATGGTGGGAGACCCTGGAACGGCAGCAGGCGGTGGCTCTGCAGGGGCCATGCCCCAGCCCTGGGCAGGGGGATGTGAGTGGTGGCCTCGCCTTTCTGGGGACACCCACACCCTCCGGGTACCCAGAAAGGGCCCGTGGGGATGGAGCTGCGCAGTGGAAGGTGGCTGCGTGGCGAGGCCGGTGCCGATGCCCAGAGACAGCAGCAGATGTCACTGATGCTCCAGGTTTGGCACGGGGAGGACGGGCAGGAGGTGCCAGAAGGATGCCCACGACCAGGGCTGGTGGCATCTCAGCCCCCTCCATCCTGGTGGTGGGGCCCCTTCAGTCTCGCCCATCTCGGTGGTGGGACCCCTCACCCATCGTGGTGGCGGTGGTGGCCCCCAAAGGTGCCTTCGCACAGGCTGTGGCTGAGCCTCCATGGATGACAGCCTTGGGGGGGTGATGGAGCTGCCCCAGGGACCCCCTTTCCCAGAACCACTAGTGGTCAGCTGGACTCACCTCGGAGCCAAAAGGTCAAAATGGCAAGTTAGGTACCACTTTGTGGTAACTAGAGCATTTGTGTAAGAGACAGCAGCGATGACTGGTGTTGAAAACCCCAAAGATGTTTAAAATTGTCATGTGGTGTCTGTATGGACTGCTCTTAGCGAGGCCCCTCCGCTCGCCCACCAGTCAGAAGCCCTCGTGTTCTCACACACGGTGACAAACACACACACAGAGCAGCGACTGGACTGCCTGAGGGGATCTCCTCTTTGGGGGAAAACTCCAAGGAAAAGGAGGCCAATCGCAGTGGCTCCTGGTGAGCTGCAGGATGCGTTGACATCTCTTCAGAGGACAAGGAGAGCGATGGCTCCTGAGGACAACGGGCACGAAGGTTATGTTTATGGTTATGTCATGCTGGGTGCTAAGAGGCTTGAGCAGCAAAAAGGGGTCATTTTCCAGAAAGGGTGAAGCTGCACATCTACTTACTCCTAGTGGTGGTATTTCAGGTGGGGTGGGTGGAAGAAAGAGCAAACCACCGTCCCCGTAACTACCAGCTGCACGGAGAACAGCGAGGCCAGTTTCATCCCCCCTTTTTCTGTTGCTTAAAGCTTGTTCTCTCCCAAACCTTTAGTGGCGGGAAATATTGGGGTCTTCATCCTCTGAAAAAATAGCTCCCAGGAATATCTAACAGCCTTAAAGTCGAGCTTTAACTTCCTTTTATTAGTGTTTTTCAGCATGAGAGCTTCCCATAGATTATTCCTCTCCTCTGCTGCCCAGTGTTGGGTCCCAGCCGAGAGGTTCCAGTGGAGAGGCCACCCAGCTCCGGCCGAGCACCAGCGCAAGCATCTCCTGTATCCCCTGCAATTAAGAGGCCACCTTGATTAACTGTGGGGCAGGCAGTGCCAGCTGTGAGGTCCTGAACGGAAAGTGCTTCAAAAGAGAGGAGAAGGCATTCTGAGCAAGCCCATGGGGATAAAAGAGGGTCCTTTGTTGCCCCCGATTCGTATTTCTGCTCCCCTTTTCTCCTCAGCCTCTCTGAAAAGAAAGCCCTTGCATTGCAAACCGCGCTTGATCGGAACCATTATCTGCATGTTCTGCTTCTGTAGGTGGCTTTACAGTTTTAATTACACCCCAGAACATCTGAATCATTCTGCTGTTCCCACCAGTTTCCTTGTGTGCTAACTAGATTTAGACCTTCAGTAAAATCAATAGATTCTTATCTTGGTACTGGCCAAGCCAGTCATGACCAGTAATTTACAGCTCCAGTTGTTCTGAAATCGATACAGATTTGCTCTTCGTCGAGAGAGCTGTAAAACACGGTGACATCAGGCACGCTGAGCAGTTGACGTGGGAGCAGGTCCCTTGCTGGTCTTGAAGAGTGGCCGGTACAATCAGAGAGGAAAAGCTCCAGGACCAGTGAATGGAGAAGACCTCTCGCGCTGAATGACCAGGCTGAAGACCTTGACGAAGTGTTGGGCTCTCGCTCCTCTCCTGGAGTGGGAGGTGCAAAACACAGGGTATGGCCAAACGGCTCCTCTCCAATGTGCAAGTTGCTCCAGAAGGTCATGGCAGCATCTGGTGACCCAACTCATGCCAGCATCCTGTAGTGCTCTCTTCTACCCTATCTCCTTGGGGTATAATTCATAAAAATGACATGTTACGGAGCTCTGATAACATGTCTTGCATGATCCCAGGGTGTCAGGAGGGCACTGAGCAGGAGAGAAACTTTCCACGGCTTTCCATCTTCTGGGGGGAAAAAAAAAAATAAATAAAAGCAAACTTTTACTATTTAACATTTCGCTTAAAAACCAGAGAAGCTCAACTAAATAAATCCCTCTTCTATCCGCTTTCAAGCCCAGCTTTTCAAAAAGCCTGCAGCTAGAAATCTCTTTATCTTGTAGGGCACAGATAACGATGTAATTATGAGCTCAGATCAATGGCCTCCATCTCATCGGTTCTCAGCCTAAAAATAAACTGTTATTCTTTCACTCAGCTGCACAGGGCTGAGGCTCGCAACTCCTCTGGGCTACTGGCCCACTGCGGAACCATTTATGAGTGGCCACGGGGCTGGCGACAGTCTGTGATGGGGTCTGGAGTGTCCACAAAGCCTTTCCCAGGGGTGAAGCCGATGGTTTGGGTTATCTCGTTTCTGCAGGGTAACGTTAGGTGCCGAGCCGAGCTGGCCAGCGAAGACACCTGGGCGATGGTCACCTCTTCCCAACCACCTCCCTGCCGCACCGGTGGCTGCGGTGACACCGCCGGTGAAATCTGGAGCCACGTTTTCGCGGTTGTGTGAGTTTCAGCGACTTTCTCGGGAAATAAAAATATCCAAAGAATAAATATCAGCTTTTTTTTTTTTTTTCTTGCGCGCTGCATAATAGGAATATAACTTATTGCCATCGGAGAGTGGAGTGCTTGGCAGCTGCCATAAATCCCCGATTCCAATAGACTCCGCTTGCACTTAAACAAAAGTGAAGGATGTACAGGCAAACAGCGAGCATAATTGGAACAGGGAGTAGAATATTTTTGATTAATCACTACTTGAATATTATCGGGGCATAACGCTGATTTTCTTGTACAGGCAGAGGCCCCAGAAGGTGTGCCTGCCTCCAGCTGACAGCGTCGGGATAACGAATGCCCTAACCCGCGTGGTACTCCTGCCAGTGTGGGATGGGGCGGTCTGGCACGTGGGAACCGGCTCGATGCCAGCCTCAACCTTAATAAAATTGTGTACCTGCTAATTGCATGCCCAACGCTGGCCAACGTCACCCAGCCAGGAGGAGAAGACGGAGGAAACACGTAGGTCTGAGTGTTCGTGGATTCAGGTCAGTGGCTTTGCTGGTTTCGGGCCAACGCCATTCGTTCGAAGCTTGATCGTCACCCTGAGCCCATCTCAGCACCGGGAGCCAGAGCTTTCCCCTGGGGGCTGCGTTTCCAACGAGCAGCATTTTTTTTTGTGTGCTCCCATGGGTGTTTGGGGTGGATCCCCTCCGGCTGGGATGCAGCCCAGTGGGACAGCTGGGCGTCGAAGGTGGGGTGCTGGGTACCAGTACTGGGTTGTGACAGCCCCTGAGGTGATGCTGAAAGTGAGGCCACTGCTTCCAGCTCATCTTTCCTAAAAGCATCTCTCTGCAAAGGTTGAGGCGGGCTGTCCTTACTTGATCTTTGCTTTAATGGAGGTGATACCTCCGTTAATCTAATCAGTACGGATTAAATTATGTGACAGCTCAAATTGAAAAAAACCTCAAAACCGGGATTTGGATTAAAACACATGGTTGCGAGTAGCCAGGGCTTGGCAGAAAACAAGTGAATAAATAAGCAAAAAATTCTGATTGAGAAGCCTTTGCAAGACTAAAATGGATTTTGTGGTACTGGAGCATCCCACAGTCCCCGTGGGGGTGGGAAGGGGCTCGCCCCCACCCGCCAGTCTCTGCCATGCTCGCACTGAGTCAGAGGTGGAAAATTGTATTTGACTGTAACCCAGGCGGAGTTAATATTATCTGGGAAGAGTTTCTTGCAGAACGTGGGCCTGGCAGGAGAGGTGATGGGAGCTGGGAGGCTGCGGGTCGTGGTGGAGGCTTTGCCAGGGTGTCACTGCCGCGGAGGGTAACGCAAACCCCTTTTTGCATCCTCACCCCGCGGCGTAGGCAGCAGGCAGAGGGCACCTT